AGAGAGAGAGAGAGAGAGACTTCCTTATACTGTACTTGAAGGTCTTTGAATCACAGGGATGGAATACAATCACCTTTATGAGTGATGTCAATTGCTTTACAGCAGCAAATTGGACCGTAGCAGCAGAAAAAGATGCTAATAAGTAAGAATCAATGTACATATTTCCAACATCAGACAGTGACATCGAGCAGAATGAGCAGTAGCAGTCTTTGGGAAATTTGAGAAATATGCAGATGGGAATGGCAAATAAATGATTAACACGTGCATAAATGAACGCCGACTGGGGCAAGAATAGTCATCACAATTGCATGCAGTTAAACAATATTAATTGTGCATCAATCATGAAATAGTAGCTGCAATAAACACCAGCAATACAATCAGCAGTGGAGTGGCAGCTGCCCACACACAGTCTCTACATATAGTAAGTTACTCTTTTGTTTTTAATTAATGTAAATGTTGCAAGTAAGTCCACAGTAGCTTTGTTCAAGTCTTTTGCAATCTCTGCTGGAAATTTCCAGAACTCTAAGAGCATGCAAACTGTGCAGCAGAACTCATTCAGGAAGTTAAGGGTGGAGCCAACACCTGCAGGCTATGTCACCGTACTTCACCAACCTGCCTGAACCTGAATTCGAGTGCAGCTTCTAAAAGCTGACAAAGAAAGCGGCTCCTGTTTCGACATTTCCTCATTGTAGGAATGAACCTGCTTTCCCCCGCTAAAATAGACAGTAAAGGAAATATTGTTTCATTGCTTTTCATATGTCTGTCAAGAGAAGGATTCAAAAAAAGTGATAGTGTTCATCAAACCTGTTGCACTGGAGGGAGCATCGACTGAATAAAATCTTGTGAGGTCTCAGAGGTTCAAATGCTCTGTTTTACTTGGAGGGAGGTGGGTGGAGGGGGGAAGAGATATATTGTGCACTTTCATGTGTCATGTTCCATATATGCTCCAACAAGAAAGTTCCACACCCAACTAAAAGCACCTCAGGCTCTCTCTCACTTGCAGGTCAGAACACAAACCGCATTTCCAACATGCTCTAACTACTTTCCCCTCAAGCTACAATCGTGTTTTTTGTCTACTGAGCACTTTGTACTGCAAAGTGAAGTCGAACGGTCTCTTTCCATGTAGAGGAACTAGTGAGCAAGTCGGTGAATGTGCATGCAATCCTCCTCAGAGACAGTATAAAAAGTGAGACCAGAATAAACCATTTTAAAGATCTTGTAAAGAGAACGATGAGATGTTTGAAGATAATTGCTGTAAATGTTTAAAGCCTGAGAACAACGTCGTACTCAATTGTGGAGATATAGCATGTAACTGTGTTTTACCATTTCAGTTTTTGTGGGCTGTGGCTGAAAGTGATGCAATTGAGCATCGAGCATGAGTGCCTAACCCATCCCCACAAGACATTATAAGAAAGTGAGCAATGACGGATCAATATAACTCGAGTGACAGACTGCTAACGAATACGTATATGTTATCTGTTATCTAGCTACAATAACCACTACGTTATAGCTATAGTAATTACTACATTATGTGTTAACAGCACCTACTATATGGCACTTAACAAGCGACACATTAATCTTAGATGTCAGCCTAAGTGGAGACGCATCTTAGTTGCACTGCTTCTAAAGCAAGACACAACTTACTGGTCCACAAGATTGGACAATTTTTTAATTGTAGAAAGAGTGTAGTTTGTCTGGTAAACCTATACTGTACAACATTATGGACTGCAGTGAATTCTTGCTGGCGTTTCACCAAACTTCCGAATAACAATTTAAATATGGTAATACTAGAGCTCATTCACGTAATTTCTCATTGTTTCCTGCCTAACCCTCCTTACACATGCGCACACATTCACGCATCAACTCAATTAGAGATCTCCGCAATGATTGAGAAAATGTGTTGAAGGAAATATCAAAAACCTCAAACCAAATTGCTAGTTCATGCCAGTGAGAGCTTCCAGCCACACCTTGCTTGTCTAATGCCTCACATACCAACATCGCTGTTCACTTTGACGCAACCCGGTGCGCTCAAGCAAGAGGGTGTGCAACTGGTCATGACGCTTTACCTTCCACAAAGTGTCTTGATTTGCTTAATTTGCTCAACGGCACCATAGAAATATCCCGACAGAGAAGTGAGACACTCAGGAAACATGTTGTCAGACGCTTTCATATCATGAACATTGTCATGAATGGACAGTGGCTACTCTTTCTTTCCAACATCTCATCAAGGACTGGTTTCTCGTTCATCCATTTTTCTCCCTTAAAGCCCGAGTGCCCGATTGTCCAAGGCGCTGTCACAGACAATCGGGCACTAAAAGGTTTGAGAATAAAGCTTTATGAAATGGAGATGACTGCCCAACAGTACATCTTAATTATATCGTACAACTTTAGCTTGATTTGATTTCACAATTAAGGAATGCTGACAATTCTTGAAGTTGCAAACTGTCCCATTCTCTTCTTATCAGTCCAAGCCCAGGTGACTCTCTTCAGCGAGAGTGCCCCCATCGGCCCCCAAGATTAACCAATCTTCTTCAAAGACTAACTGGCGCTATGCTGCCTAAAAAAGAAAAAAAAATTACGTTATTGATCAGGTCAAGCCAGTTTCTATTGTCAAATATGCTCTATGTGCAACATACAGCACAGATGAAATTTCTTTCCGCTCAACCACAGTGCAACCACAGGAGAGAGAGGAGCCTCTGCGGGTACCTGCACCGGCATCAACAGAACAGTTAACATAAAATAACAAAACAATACAACACAACACATACAGTCATGCAATCTTAACCACTTTTTTCTGCATACACTTTGTTTGAAGCAGTTCTAGATGAAAGAGGAGAGAATCAACGTGTCCTTTCACCAGTGGATCAGAGACGTCATGATGAAAATGTGCACACGTCTGCTACAAGCTAAGTTTGAAAACAAACAAGAAGCTGTAGGGTCCATTGACGAAAAAAGAGACTGGCTCACATCTCCTGTCCCATGTAAATCCGCTTCAATTCCAAGCCGCGACTCCCACTTCCACATACGCATCTGCGCTCTGCGCTGATGCTTCTTTCTTCTCATCGTCGGCTCCACAAGCCATCCATCTATCCAGCCGCAGACTGTCCAACAGCACCGACATTTCCGCTGAACAAAATGGGGCTGTGAAAAATGCTGCCCATTACAGGCGCAAAAAATGATGTTGTCTGCGCTAATTACTAAAATTATGCAGTAATTTGAATTTACAATTTGAGCAATGGATGCAATATAAGCAATGCTAATCTCGTTGGTTTTTATCTCTTTTTTTTAAATTTTTTATGTGTATGTTTTGATTTTCTGAGGGAGTTCAGTTTATGTCTCTTTGATTTTACAACTGATCATTTCTTCATTGTGTTTCTTTAAATCAAAATTATTCTGCACATCTGTAATTAGTCCTGAGACTATTTGAGTTTGTTGTGCATATACCAAATGCAATAATGACACAAACGTCAAACAACGGCAACCAAGCCCTGTAACAATACTTAGGGATTTAATTTATAGCATGTACAATTGATTTATTTAAAACCATCGTGCGTTTTTAAGGAACTTTGCAATAGCCATGGTTGTTTTCCTCGTGTTTACCAACTTTTCATGCAAAGTTGTTCTTAATTCTCACGAGAACAGGCTGCACAGCCTTGCAAATTGTGAAATCCTCAGGCACCAACTTGCCGCCCTGTTGTTTTAATTGAGATCTCGTGTTGCTGAAACCAACTCAACCAGAGCAACGTGTTTGGATCAGCCTTTTGCCCCTTTGCCGCACCCACCAGTCACACAAGCAGTGTCCTGTTGCGCCTCTTATGCAAGCACAAAGCAATGACTCGCAGTAGAGTGCAGAACTCCACTTTACAGCTGTGAGCATAGCAGTTACACAGGAAATTTCAGAGTACAATCTACTCTAATTGAGGACAATTGTATTCTGAATAAGATTAAATTTGGTCCCGGTCATAACAGAATATAAACTCAAAGTAGTTGGTTAATTGTACATAGATTTGGATCCATTCTGAAGATGCACTCTAGTGGCCGGGGGAAATAATTGTACTCCAGAATGTTTAAATACAAGTGAATTAGAGGGGGGAAAACAGAATCTGTAAAAATTACTCTAACAATTTCACAATGTATTTGATATCGTGTTAAAATGCTAACCTCAGAGATGCAAGCAAATTAATTACAGACGTGGATGTACTGCGGTTTCATCCCTTCAATTAGCACCTGCATAGGAGTCGTGGTTTTAACTGAAATTCAGGAGTAAAATATAATCGGGGGATTCCTTTCATGACATGCCTGGCAAAAAGTGTTGTCTTATCTGAGGTTTTACTCATTAAATACAGTACGGTAGTTATGCAGCTGCTTGATCATTCTCTGTTCTCAACAACTGTGTTCAACTTCTATGAAAAGCCTTCATGAAATGAAAATTGAGATAGTTGAATTCACCTAACATGGTGAAAGAGGTTGAGCTAATTTTTGTACAAAATAAGTGCTAAAGTCGAGTGAAACTGATCTCCGTGTTAAGGAATTTGCAATACTTGTTTCTTATATAAGATTGACATTCGCCCACAGGGTACGACTGACTTGTTTAAGCAAAGCAGCAGTTCAGTGAAGATGGATCATCTGTCAGAGCACTCACTTGACACTTCAAACTGGTTGGATCTGACTAAGCGGCCTCAGGCTAACAGGACAGGGTGCGGCCCTTTCACAACTCATACTTTTGAGCAATGAAATGTAACTGGCGTAAATGAAAAATAACTTTCGTTCACCGTGATCTGGAGTTAAAGAAGATCAAGTGTTGAGAGCAACAAGCCGTCTATATTTTCTGTGTGGTCAAATTGATGAGAACATTTCCCACTTTCTCCTTCAGCTAATACTGTGTAAATGAACCCAAGGGATAAGTGCGAAGGGTGGGGCCCGACATCTTAGGTAATGCTCCTCCTATCTACACGCCTCCATTTGCACCAGAGGCCGCCTTGTGTTGCATAAAAAGGGGAGTCAGGAGGAGCCGTGTATCTCACTCCATCATCTCCTTTCTAAGGCAGGCAGGCACCACCGACCAATCAGCATAATGACATCCATCAGTCGGTCCTCTTACACGACCCGCTCCTACGGAGGCGGAAACCTGGCCGGCAGTATCCGCAAGGGTCAGGCTATGAGTGTTTATGGCGGTGCAGGTGGATCTGGCTCAAGAATCTCCACTGGCGGTTATGTATTGGGAGGTGGTGCTGGTGGCAGCAGTTACGGTTTTTCCATCGGAGGGGGTGCAGGCTACGGCTTTGGCGACGGCCTGGATATCCATGTTGGAGCAAATGAGAAGGCCACTATGCAGAACCTGAACGACCGCCTGGCCTCCTACCTTGACAAGGTGCGCAGCCTTGAGAAGGCCAATGCCGAGCTGGAGTTGAAGATCCGTCAGTTCTTGGAGAACAAGGCCTCCCCCCTTGCCCGTGACTACTCTGCTTATCAGGTCACCATCGCCGACTTGCAGGGGAAGGTAAGAGTGTTCTTATCTTATTCCGTGTGTATTCACAAGTCATGAAAGGCCACTAACGTTCTCTCTTTCTAAATCACACAGATCCAGGATGCCACACGCATCAACGGAGGCATCTATCTAGCCATTGACAACGCTAAACTGGCAGCAGATGATTTTAAAACTAAGTAAGTTGGAAGACTTCCACTGAAGATGACTTCACAAACTGAAAATGCACATTTTGCAGGCTGTAGCATGATTTTCTCATCTCCTGCTGTACCACAGGTACGACAACGAGCTGGCCATGCGTATGTCTGTGGAGTCAGATATCGCCGGTCTGAAGAGAATGTTGGATGAGCTGACACTGGTCCGCTCAGACCTGGAGATGCAGATTGAAGGCCTCAAGGATGAGCTTGTCCACCTCAAACGGAACCACGACGAAGTGAGTCGCAAAAATTCACATTTTCTGTGTCGGAGTTACTACAAATTACTTTCTGTCCAAATATCTTACCAACACTTTTGCGTGACAGGAAATGGCAGCTATGAGGTTACAGATGACTGGACAGATCAACGTAGAGGTAGACGCCAAACCACAGGTTGACCTGACCAGAGTCATCAGTGAGATCCGCGAGCAGTACGAGAGTGTGGCCGCGAAGAACCAGCGAGACCTGGAAGCCTGGTTCCAGAACAAGGTAATTCCCGGTGAAACTTTGTTAGTCGTTCCATAGCACGTTCCGGAGTACGGCACTAACGTACTATTCTGTCTACTGCAGTGCGAAACATTAAACAAGGAAATGGCTGTCAGCACAGAAACTCTCCAGACCTCCAGGTCGGAGATCTCTGAGATCCGTCGCAGCCTGCAAGCCTTGGAAATCGAACTACAGTCTCAACTTAGCATGGTAAATAAAGCAGAGCCTTCTAGCTATACACTCACATGAAAATTGTGTCCCCATCTCCTCATTCTTAAATGCTTTTATACGCTCCTCTAGAAAGCGTCCCTGGAAAACACACTAGCTGAAACCGAAGCCCGATATTCCATGATCCTCCAAGGACTCCAGGGACAGGTGACAAGTCTTGAACAACAACTGACACAACTGCGCGCCGAGATTGCAAACCAGACCAGCGAATACAGCATGCTCCTTGACATTAAGACCAGACTTGAGGCGGAAATTGCAGAGTACAGGAGACTGATGGATGGGGAGGGCAGGTAAGAGAAATTTGGTTGACAGCATTTCTGACCACAAGAGAAGTGCAGTCATCGGATTTGCACCGCATGCTTTGTGACTGGTATTTCATGCATGCATTGTCTTTCCCCAGCATTGGTTCCAAATCCTCCACTGCCAAGGTGCTGGTGTTCACAGAAGAGATACATGACGGCAGGGTAGCGTCCTCCAAAACCATCTCCTCATAAGAAGCCTCACACAGCAAACAAGAGCATAAAGGGGAGTGACACCTGACGACGACCTTTTCATCTCAAACAAATGAAATGATGCAATAAAAAGGCCCCTTGTCTGCCAACCTACTCCTTGTGGCTGCGTGTGGTCATTTGTTTGACTTTTTTTTTTTTGAGTCTACAAAAGTTTTGCTCGAGTATAAGATAGGTCTGAAACCAAAATAAGGGAAATGTATAAACATCAACAAACCACAAAGTCTTCAGGGTGTATTAAAATGGTAAAATAGTTTGTCATCATTATACTCCATCGGGTTTCAGTTAACCTTCCCCAAAGGATGCTGATTGGGCCAAAGTTGATGAACTTGCTTCAGTGGGATTTCTTAGATAGATTTGTGTGGAACAATGGACCTCACGTCTGGTTCAACTGGATCAAGCCCCATTTGACCAGGAGGGTTAAAGCATTATAGAGACGCTGTTTTGAAAAAAAAAAAACAAAAAAAAAATCGTTTTTATAGACAGCTTCTTGGCTGCTTACTCTGACTATATGGCATATTGTGCAAAATCAGAAAAGGGTAAGCGGTATTTTCCGAGCCCATTCTGTCACATTGGTACTGGTCAGATTTTGTAAAGGTCATTTGTCTGATCATTTGTGTTAGCAGCTCTAAACTGTAAAATATTCCATTTGAAATTATGTCTCTCAATCTGTTCGTGACACTACTTGTCCTACTGAGGGTGAATTGGAATTTTTAAAATAATTTTTTTCAATGAAAACACAAGAATTAACCACACGATCTTTATTAGGTCAGACATAGAGGTGTCTAAATCGCATGTTTTAGATGTTTCACTCCTCCAACACATCATGTAGAAATGATTTTATCAGGCTTCTGCTGAGCTTGCTCATGAGCTGATCATTTGAATCAGGTGTGTTGGAGGAGGGGAAAATCTAAAACGCGCAAGATAGCGGGCTCGAGGACCGGATTAGGACATCCTGAGTTGGAGTCTCTTCCAAGGTATCACTCAATCTGATCCACATCTATATCCACAGTCTTGCTGCTCTCAACCACCCTCCCATCCACGACCGTCTCCATCACCGTGGTGATCTTGGTGATCACTGTACGAAAGAAGAGAAACATGAGCAAATGCAGTCCTTGTGTTTCAACCTTATTAAATGTTAATGGTGCCTTCAAAGATACTCACCTTGCTTTGAGCTAGGGAATAAGAATAAAAGCAGAACAGATTAGTTCTGATTATTTCTGATGATGTGATTGCTGTGATCACTCCTAATCCTTACTCCATTACATAATCGAAATTAGTCTCCTCCTCACCTGTCATTCTCTCCATCCAGCAACCGTCTGTACTCTGCAATCTCCAGCTCCAGTCGAGTTTTAAGATCCAACAGCATGTCGTACTCGTGCTTATTGCTGGTGATGTTGGCGTGGATCTGTGAAAGCTGAGCCTCTAAACTCACTACTATGTTCTGGAGGCCTGCTAGCTGTGCAGCGTAGCGGCACTGTGTCTCCTCCAGGCTGCCCTCCAGGGATGCTTTCTGATCACACAGAGCAGACATGAGCGGGGAGCCTGAGTTGGACATTCATGCAAGACCAAGCGTTCGTTTGAAAATGCAAGGTTACACATACCATGCTGAGATGGGACTGCAGTTCAATCTGGAGCCTCTGGAGAGTGCTCTTTAGGTCCTTGATTTCTGAGCGGGAGGTCACCAGAGACTCTGACTGTGTCATCACTTCCTGCTCTACTGCTGCGATCTTGGCACATTACAGACACAATTTGACGTGTTAATTCGTTTTTTTTAAAGCTATCATAAGCCATGTTCTTCACCTTGTTCTGGTACCAGGCCTCGAGCTCCCTGCGGTTCTTGGCGATCATAGCCTCATAGTGATCTCTGATCTCCGTCATAATCTGGTTCAGGTCTGGAGACGGCGACGCGTCCACTGCCACGTTAACCTGACCGCCCATCTGACTCCTGAGCAGAACCAATTCCTGTGAGGGGTCAAATAAGGAGGAAGCTTATCAACTGACCTCTTTCCTGGTTTTGGTTCTTTTGAAACGTGTGTTTGGTGTCTTTAAGTGTGTGCCAGACAAACAATAGCAAAGAGCTAATGATGGAGGCAAAGAAGAATGCAAAGAAGTGATCTTAGGTGAGACAGCATTGTCGAAAGGAGGAAAACTGTTTGTGGAAAACATTCTCTGAACATGAAACTTCCTCATTGTTCTCAGAGGGGTGTGTGGGTTTCTGTGTGTACTTTGGGATCGTCTCAAGCCACAATAGACCCTGACAAATGGTGACACTGCACATACTGTCGACTGAATGGTGAAAAGAATGGGACGGGGGAGTTGTTGACTATAGGTGCTGAGTTGACGAGTTGTGTGAAAACACAGGTGTTAGTCATGCATAGGAACGTACTGACTGAGATAAAAGTCATTCATTTTGCTCAAGCCCCTTCGTTAAAAACCGTGGCAGGGCACCCTCACCTCTTCGTGGTTCTTCTTCAGCATGATCAGCTCATCCTTCAGACCGTCCACCTGGCACTCCAGATCCACTCTGGCCAAGTTAATCTCTTCCAGCATCTTCTTCAGCCCAGCGATGTCGGCCTCCACGGTCATTCTCATGGCCAGCTCATTCTCATACCTGAGAGCATCACAGAGCTCGGTGAGTTTTGGGTGGCTCGTTGCAGAGCTCCACGATGTGATAGCACACACACACACAGCACACTGACTTCATTTTGAAGTCATCAGAAGCCAATTTTGCGTTGTCAATATCCAGAATTGTCTTGGCATTCAGCCTGGCGGCAACACAGATCTGACAAGAAAACAAAAACATGCAAGAGAGCCCACAACATGAGCTCATTGGTCAAACAGTACATGAACTCAATCAATACTACACGTTTGGCAATTCATGAAATCAGTTGAGATGGTTTTTTCCCAGTGACAGTTCTGTTTTTGTTGTTGTTGTTGTTGTTGTTGTTTTTTAATTGTAGTACCAGTGTTGCTTTTATTTTATTTTGCAGAACAGTATGGAATTATCCATCCATCTTCCTTCCCTCTTGTCGTCATGAGGGTTGTGGGCGAGCCAAAGCCTTTTCCAGCTGACTTGGAGCAAGCGGCAGAGTGCTTCCTGTATTGTTTGGGAGCCAATCGCAGCAGGATGGAATCATTGTGTAAACAAAAAAAAAACAAAGTCGACCTATTGTGATATTTTTGGAGTGCTCCAAGTGGCCACACTGTGGGGCATTTCTTATTGGCAGTTAGGATTGATCCCAATGAGCAACAAATTGCTTGAAAACTACGAGTCATCTGTTGATCAACATTGCAGCACCTTGTAGATCAATCGATGATCAGGGGATGGAGTGATTTTTTTTTCCCCAAATTAAAAACAGGCTAAAAATCAGATCAAACCTAAAAATGTGTGTGTGTGTGTGTGTGTGTGTGTGTGTGTGTGTGTGTGTGTGTGTGTGTGTGTGTGTGAGCAAACATGTCAAACATGTCATTGCTGTGCAATTGTTACTGATGCCGGTGGGGGATGTGACACACTTCAGAATCAAACTTTACTTGAGTTGGTGGCAGTTGTACGTGCCATCATATCTCTGCTACGTGCAACACACACACACACACACGCACACACACACGCACACACACACGCACACACACACGCACACACACACACACACACACACACACACACACACACACACACACACACACACACACCATTTGGAGGCTGATCCCAGAATATGACTTCTCTCACCTTATCCTTCAGGTCATCAATGATGGCAAAGTAACTGGAGTAGTCGCGGCTGATGACCGTTCTGCTCTGGTACCAGTCTCTGATCTGCTTGTCCAGGCGCTGGTTCTCCTTCTCCAGGCTGCGCACCTTCTCCAGGTAAGAAGCCAGACGGTCGTTCAGGTTCTGCATGGTGGCCTTCTCGTTGGCACCGACGTGGAGGTCCAGGCCATCGGCCAGGTTGAAGCCAGGAGCGGCGACGTAGCATGACTGGGCGGAGGAGATGCGGGTGCCGCGGCCGCCGGCTCCACCGTAGACGCTCAGCGTTTTCTGGCCGTAGGATTTCGTGCTCAGAGACATGATGGAGGATCTGGATGTGGACCAAGTAGGAATACTGGAGAGGATCTGCGGTTGTGAGCATCACTTTGCTCCCTGTGTTATATAGAGAGTAAAAAGGGAGGGGTTTAACTTGAAAGGCAAGAATGTGTCTGCCATTATTCCTTGCAATCGCTCCATCACCACACAGGTGGTGCCAAGTGGGTGAGGGGTTCATCTGCCATCATTACAGGTCAAACCGCATTTTATCATTTCTCAATGAATGACCATTCTTGAAATACTTCTCTACCATACCCCACATCCCTTGAGGAATGCATAATTGCCACCTTCCGTATTTATTCCGAGACAAAACAATCAGTGTGAAGACTCACACACCTATAGAAGAAATGTCATAAAATGTTGACTCAAATTGATTCCTCACCACCGTGGACAGAAATTAAACACAGCGGTGACAATTTCACATCAGCCAAACAAGGGCCAAAGGTTGAGACCAAGGTAATTTAAGTCAAATATATCAGCGCGGAAATGTGCAAGATTGCATTTACTGATGCTTGTGGAATCATTTCTCATCAACGGTTGAATATTTTCACGTCCAAGTGTCATAGACAAACACATCACTCCTGTACACAGACTCATAGTGAACTCCACATTCAAGACTAAACGACAAGCAAATACAATATGTAGGTCTGTGTGAGTAAAAGTATGCATTCCTGCCATATATTGAGAAGCCTGCTGGGTTTTGTTCGGTAATGTGTTTGCAAATACATATTTTGGGCATTTGTCTGACGAGTCAAACTGGGTGAGACTTATTGTTGGAAAAGTGAAGAGCAAAGTGTTAAACAACAAGAATTTTTTTGTGCTATATTCTCTCTCTCTCTTATATATATATAATGTATTTATGTATTTATTTTATTTAATATTATTGTAATAATAAATGTTATTTATTTTAATAAGAAAAAAAACATTTTTAATCGTGTGATAGTTTCGTGAAAAGTCATTAAAACATTTTTTATGCTAACTCTCCCATGTGTGCTGTTGATGTTAATGATCATCACAACTGTTTTGTTACATCAAAACCAGGTATTTCTTTTAGGGCATTGAAAACAACAACAGAAATCGTACGATGTGCTGTAAGCAGCAACTGGTCTGGAATGGTGACTCAGTCATGAGGTCAGGTCAGTGCGCAAAAAGATACTTGCGCTACTGTGATGAATTTGATGAATGATTGATTATGAGCAATGATTGAATTGCTTTCTGCATCAGCATAAGCTTCCCTCAGGCTAAAAACAAGGGAGAAAAATACACGATGTGAACTGTACAAAAGTATGCCTGACACTGCTGGATCGGTCCGTCTTGGTTGCATCTCACAGTTGGTGACTTCCAATTAGAGGACATCACTGGGGGCGGGGCCATCTTACTGGTAAGACAAACTAGAAATTTAATTGGTTAAGAAACAGTCCCATCGTTGATATAGTTGACATTACATTGGCCAGCACTATTGATTTGGACAGTCCAGGGAAGATTAGATTAACATGGCAACAACTAGGGGCTAAAAAAAAAAAAAAAGAATTACTTTGTAACTAACATACAGTACACACATACACTACTGGAAACAGTGCAGCCAAGAGAAACTATCGGAGCTATAGGAGAATGTACTGTTGGGAATAAATGAATCCAATTTAATGGAACAAATATAATTTAGCTTGAGGTCAGTGCTTCTGATAACATTATGGCCAGCAAAAAATGGCCACCTCAGAGGGCCTTGCATGCCTTGATGGCTCACCACCTGGTGAGTGCCTGTCAAATGGCCCACGACGAAACGTCTCAGCAAGTTGCCAGAAAAAAAAACCCATCCTGTCTACGGTAGGAAATGACCACTTATATACAGTGGAACCTCTTTTCAACGGACCCCATTTACATTGTCACACCTAAAACGTTCGCATTTCAAAGTCCCGATTTCACGTACTTCATTTTCCATTTGCCGATTTTGCTCACAACAAATGCCTTTATAACGTAAACTTAATTAAAACGACCAGGTTTTTCCCACAAAATAGTGAAAAGGCCTTCGTTACAACAAACCGTGGGAAGCTAACCGCCGCTGCGACCTTGCTTAAAAAGAAAATGTACAGTGTGGAATTCCCCTTCGTTGCTTAGCAGCGCTACTGCTCGACTCGTACATTGTTGTACTTCCGGAGGCACTCCGTAAATTGGTGACAGTTGGCCTCGTCGGCGGCACTGGCAGTTGCCAATGGCGGGTAACATTCTCTGACTGAATGTTTTCAGAGATTAAGTAGGAACGCTACAGTTGTTTGTTTCATATCTTATAAATTCATTTTTCATTCACATACACGTATTTGTAATTGACATGTTTGTACTGTATTACATGTTCACGTTTTTACATCTATCAATGGTCATATGATGTAGTTGGCGGCCATTTTACTGGAAATGGTTACAATGAACTACCATCACGATGTGCAGATTCGTTATATCCCTCGAGGTATGTTGTAACGACCGTATTTGTGTTTTGAGCGTCTCTGCTTGTTGAGCAACATAGCCGTGCTGCTTGACTGCTGTTTGCTGTCATCGTTGACGTCTCTTGTCGTCTGTCAGCCTGATAAACCGGATGACATTTCGCTGGATGACAGATGGTACGGACGATGATAACCATTGAGGAATATCCAATGTGTTGGCTCAGTCATTGCTTTTCTTCATACAAAGACTTTTGGGAATGCTGTGCCAGAAAAGTTCTGCTCACAAAGATTGTGGAAAACTCCCAGCAGCATACACACACTTTTAAGTACAAACTCTGCCTTTCCAAGGACGTAAAAGCTGAGTTTTTGAAAGAGGTGCTGTTTTTTCAGAAGAAAAACTGCTTTGGATCATAATGCAAACTTTTTGTAATAAGGCGGCTATGTTATTTGGCTAATTCTCACATAACATGATTGAAAACAACTCTCAGTCACAAACAGTGCAGTTCCACATCACTCCAATCTACAACCACAGTAGTATTCATTATTACCTTTGTAAAGGTAGATTTTTTTTCTTCATAAGGGCCTTGATCTGATCAAATCATAGTGATAGTATCCACGTCATTCTTGAGGGCTCTCATGGGGAAACCAATATGGGCGGAACAGCCGGTAAGAAACCTCTGGGAAAATTGTCCAATTTGTTGGCTGTACTACCGAGCAGAAAAATTTGAATCTGCGTGTCATGATCATTTTTTTAAAATTGGTTTCTCGGGTGTTTCAGTTTGATTAAATATTTTGTCTTTGTAGTGTATCCAATTGAATATAGGATGAACATTCATTCATTCATTCATTTTCCGATCCGCTTATCCTCAGAAGGGTGGTGGGAGGTGCTGGAGCCTATCCCACCTGTCTTTGGGCACCGGTTCAATCGCAGGGCACACAGAGCAACCACCCGCGCTCACACTCACACCTCAGGACAATTTTGGAGTGTTCAATCAGCCTGCCATGCATGTTTTTGGAATGTGGGAGGAAACCAGAGTACCCGGAGAAAACCCACACAGGCCCGGGGAGAACATGCAAATTCCACACAGCTGGAACTGAACCCGGTTCCTCTGCACTGTGAGGTTGACGCACTAACCACTGGATCACCGGGCTGCTAGGTTGAACATGATTCGCAAATTATTGTATTGTTTAACATAATGTCCCAATTTCATTAGAATTGGGTTAGTACATTTTGATTCGAGCACTGTTCTAAAAGCATTCTTTGATGCTTGAATACAATTCTCTGAAAAACAGCTGTTGAACAAAACAATCAAGAGATTCAGTCTCGCAGCTATCATGATTATATTCTTCTCATAGAAACATTTCTCAAAACTTCTCACTTACACGTTTGGTTGACCCATATAAGCGCCACGCCGGCGTTGATTTGCAAAGCCTTGTGGAGGTAACATGGGCAAGGGAATTTTGCTCAGAGATATATCAAAAACGTTCAACGAATATGGTATTTGAATTTGGTTTTGCAAAGTGTGCACATTACTCTTTATTACCCAAAAAACTGAAAGCAAAACTATCTATGGTCCGTGTTTGTCCATCTTTGTGCCTGTACTATTGTCTGTGCTTTAACTTATATTTTGCAGACCGGCGTCATCCACACCACGGCATCGAGCCTCTCCATGCATGAGGAAACCTGATTTGCGTGGCCGGCCTGTAAAACAACTTTTCTTCATCTTATGCTTGCCTTTCAGTGGCTCATTATGAAGATCTTTTGTTCTGTGAGATATTCACAACAAATATGTTGCTCTGCTTGCCTGCTAATGCCACAGACAAACACCAACACCCTTTGGTGTCCCTATGAGTTTGTTCTTCATGGTATTAAGATATTTGCATGTGACATTTTGGAAGGTGGCAAGAGACGATCCATGTGTCGAAACATTAACATCCATTCATCCATCCATCCATTTTCAAATCAGCTTATCCTCACAAGGATCACGGGCATGCTGAAGGCCTGTCCTAGCTGTCTTCAGGCAGTAGGCAGGAAACACCCTGAACTGGTTGCCAGCCAGTTGCAGGGAACACATTGATGAACAACCACCTGTGCTCACACCTCTAGGAACAATTTAGAGTGTTCCATTAACCTGCCATGCATGTTTTTGGAAAGTGTGAAGAATCCGGAGTACCCGGAGAAAACCCACGGGCACGGGGAGAACATGCAAACTCCACACAAGGCCAGAGAATCAAACCCTACACCTCTGCACTGTGAGGCCAACGCGCTAACCAGTCGACCACCAGGCCGCCCGAAACGTTAACTATTCACTGAAAATTGAAAGATAAAGTAGTAATAGTAGGATAGTGCATCAAATTGATATACCCGTAGAGCTTCAATGGACACATTTATAGTTTAATGCCAGTGAAAGGAATCATTTTAGTGTGAGTCAACCATTATATAATTTTGGGTGTGATAGTTTTTGGCAGAGAACGTCGTGTTTCGTCATTTGTTTACGATGCTCATTTAAAAACGTGAGGAGCGAGGATTTTTCCAAGATGGGACCTGCTAATTGAAGAGGAGACAAGCGCAGGGATCGTAAAAAAAAAACTACATTCATGGCAACAGCACTATAAAATCGGTGAG